AGGTGAGAAATGCCTCTCAACATCTGCCCTTTATACTGCTGTGCAGAAGGGTAAGATGCAGCTCTGAACTTAAATGCTACAGCAATCAGGTTTCCTTTGCATAATACGTGAGGCCTGAAACATGTTAAGTGTGTTCAGAAATTCTCAATATGGCTTTTCCTCTCTATGCTAATCAGGCATTCAGAAAAAAACCAACTCTTCAGAATTTGAGACTCCTCAGAATTTGAGACTCACTACTGTTTAAAACCTTAGCAAATACCACAGTATGTGTATACTTTAAATGTCAGTGGTATCTTTTCTGAGGAGATCAAGGTTTTGCAGGAGAGAGTGAAGAATATCAATCAACTGTAGCCCAGTGGCCTGTTACTCATTCTGTTTAATAGCAGATGTGTGTATAGCTTTAAATCAATGACACAGATGACTGCTTTGGGAAGAATCACCTTGAATGATGGAAAGTATTTTAAGCATGTAAGTCTTCCTGTCATTTTGCCTTTTAAAATTTGGCTTCATTGACTTGTAAATGAAACTTGGTCTCTTTCAAGATATTTTTATGGGGTTGTCTATTGGTTCTTGGGGGGACTTAAAAATTTACTGCAATCACTTTCTTGTAAAGGATTGAAGTTTTCACCTTTTGTTCTCCTTCTCTGTTTGTAATCTGTACCATAATCTTGTTTACCTTTAAAACAGTATCCTTGACCAATTTGAGCAGCCTTTTATGGGTTGATTCTCTATCTCATCTTGTAGGTAGTGCTTCTGAATATTATCACTTATTTAAATATCTTCATCAAAGTAAAATTATTAGTTTTAGTAGTATTGTAATTATCACTCTCTGATGATATCTCTTAGCTAAGAAGTCAGGATAAAAATCTGTTTAAGCTGTGCTACCCATGAAAATATTGTCTTCTAAAACCCTTGCAGAGCTTTGAAGATCATCCATCTAAGAAACTGAAAGGGTCTAGGAGATGGTTTAAATTGAGCAGAAAAATCTGACCTACAGCTGTTTGTTTTTCCTGTCAGATTTCTCTTTTCAGCTCCTGAGACTAAGCAGAGCCTGATTTATTTTGTATGCTACCTTTCATTGTGGGAGAGTTGTTGTAACTTAGCACTTTACTTAGCTGCTTGACCAACACCAGATTCCTTCCATAATTTCCTTACACGCCAAGCTTATGTGAATTTTAACACGTTTAAAAGCATATAAAAGAAACTATTATTCTGCAAGGCTTTCTTTAAGAATTAATGAAGATATTTGCTGATCAGAGAAAAATCATTCATACTTTGGCAGAATCTAAAGATGCATTTGCATCTTTAGGTATTTGCAATGCTTTACCCTTCTGTTTGAAAAATAAAGGAGACTGAAATTCTGCAGTTTCTCATAAAGCATGCATTACAAATTTATTATTTTTAGTGGATGTTTCAATTTTCCTTTAATTCCCTTCAAATTTCCTTTAACTTTCATCTTCATCCTATAGTAATGGCACCAGCTTGGAATGTAGTTGTATAGTGCTTATTGTGGGTGATTGAAGTCCTCAGGATTTCTCTGCTTAGGCAATCAGGTAGAGGACCTACACTCTTGACCCTCTTGACCTGGGAGCTGATGTTCAGCTTTTTGCTAGCTGTGATTCTTATGTGCTGTTTCGATTTGCAACTGCCCAGTATGATCTCCAATTTTGTAAATATTTACTTCACTTTCATACTGCTCGAGTTTGGGCTAACATAAAATATAAATTGTAGCTGTGCTGTCTGTGGCAGCAGAAAAACAATCTCTGATTTAATGCAATCCAAGGTGAGGCATTTATACAGGATGTTTTTTTCTCTGATCAATTATGAGCAGTAATCCTTTTTTTAAATCTGTTTAATTTCTGTTATTGTGTTTTGTAGCCTTCCAGTCTATAATTTGGATTTTTTGTGGTGTTATGGTAAATATTTTATAAAGGTCTGACTAATAGTGTGTTGAATATTTTGTGGTGGGTTGACCTTACTGGTTGCTGAGCGCATTTAGATTAGTTCTTGGGAAAACATTCTTTACTCTGAGTTGATGAGAAACTGGAACAGGTTTCCCAGAGAAGTTGTGTCTGCCTGATTCCTGGAAGCGTTGAAAGCCAGGCTGGATATGGGCTCCAAGCAATCCGGGCTGTTGACAGGTATTCCTGGGGGCAGGAACTAGATAATCTTTAGGGCCTCTTTCATCCCAACCCATTCTATGATTTGATGAGTTGTATATGTTTAATTACAAGGTAAGTTGTGTTTGTTTTTGGACAGAATTGGTTTAAAACAATCCTGTATCAGACTTACATGTTTTCTTTTTTCCTCCTGATTAAATAATACCTAGGTTAGTGAATCTGGTTTTTTGACTTCAATGACATTTATCAACTCTTAGAGTGTCCTCTCAGACTTGTAGGAGTACAGCTGTATCTGGAGCATTTGAGTCCCCACAATGAGAACCAAAGAAAGACAATGTCATATTTTTAAAGTTTTTCCTCCTCTCTCTTTGCTTCAGAGTTACTTGTCAGCTGATGTTTCTTAAGCCATTTTACTATTGTTTATGCATATTCAATCACAGATATCACTATATCATTTTTACAGCCCTTCATTTTCCACACTATTTTGTCTGAGCCCTGTGAAGGATGCTCAAACCACTATGTTCAATTTGTATCAAGGGCACAGAGCTATAGTATTATAATAGGGCTAGCCATTAATGGGATACTATTTGCATTTGTTTAAAAGGACAATTTGTTACTCTGGCTCCTTCTTAGCAGTATATAGTGAATTCCTTTGAATTCCTGCTTTCTCTCTTGAATCCATTTCCATTTCCTATCAGCCATTTGCTTACTAACCTTCTTTCAAGAAGTATTTAGTGCACAATATCAAAGTAGAATCTCATCTTTAGCATTTGTTCTCTTATTTCACCTTAATTAGAACTTGTTTCTGGTAGACTTTAATTATTGATTGATGTTTATTGTAAGATGTTTGTTATATGATGACATGGGAAAAAGTTAGAAATATATGTTCTACACAAAGTACTACTAAAACTTACACTTCCAAGAAATGTTTGTGGGTTTCTTCTTACTGGTGCCCCAGTTACAGCTGTTTCTAGTTTCTGGACTAGAAAAAGCTGTAAATTAGAAAATAACAACATTGACTTATATTCTTGTAAAACTGTTCTGAGTTTAGTTTAATGGCACAAGCAGTTCTTGCCATGCATTTAGTTTGGGTTTGGCTGTATTACAGTGTGCAGTAGTATGCAAAACTTTGTCACCCCAGTTTGGTGTGAGGGAGGCAAAGGCTGCTATTCCATGTCTGTGCATTAGTAGATCAACTGATTTCACTATTAGGATTATATCAGCCATAAGC